CTATATACATAATAATATCAAAGCTCGCTAAGCTCAGGTCATGGACCGACGCTCTGTATACATACACGTACCTCCGATAAATGTAAAATCTAATAATATATAATAATAATTATGTGTCAACCTGGAAATTTCACGAGACGCCATGCCATAATGTATCTATACGTATCTTATCGTTTACATTATTGACAATTGTGAGTGATTATAATGATTTTATCAGATTATTATTTATTCGATTTTATTATACGAGTATTATACCAATACGGGCATACGAACTATAAGCTGTGGCTGTACCTATACTACCTATATTTAGTGTCTGGTATTTAAACTCCGAAAAATTACAGTTAACATTACCTATAAATCTAAAATACGTCATTAATGTCTTCATCGTCGTCAACACCGTTCGGTTTTGCTAAGTGTAACACATCTGATCACATGTACCAAAAACACAGGAGAAATCAATGTCACAAAATGTGTGAATGAAATAATTCAACTTATAAAAGATATTGAAAAAAAACATTATAGGTATACATTCAATTATCTAAATCAATGGCTGCATCCGTACCCGTTATCATAGGACGTAATTATTAAGCTTACTTCTTCGCTTAATATAATTGTGATCTGTTGAATTTAAATGAATAATTTAATAATTGTATAATTTCAAGTAAGTTATCGAAAGCAAGAAAGTTATAAAGACCCTCTCCATGAAAAAATGTCTAAATGTGACACTGGTTCTAAGAGTGCCTATTTACGTGTGTATAGCACACAGGTTGTGTAGTAGAAAAATGTAAGTAAGCAATAACAAATTATTGTGCGTTTTATTATTTTGACCTACAATTTATAGATTTATATTAAGGTGCCAAAAATAAAATTATTATTATCTATTATACGGCGTGATCAATCTAACTTAACACACTCTTTATCTCGGAAAGTGTTAACTTTTTTGAAATTTGTTTTAAAGAACATTTAAGAAACAAACTGTTCTAAAATTTAACACTTGCATTATTATTTTGTCGCCCTAATTTTTGGGGGTGAAATGATTGTTCACTTATGATTTTCAAATGGCCTACCGAATCTGATTATTGGTGTAGTTTGAATCGTAAATAAACTGATTACAAACTGAAAAACCGAACTTTTTTAGTTCTTCACCCAAAACGAAGTCAACTTATGGTCTCACTTTTTTTCATTCTTATTGCTCACACAAAAATATACATTTAAGGCAAAAATCGATAGTACTACCTGATTGTTAAACTAATTCTAGCTTATTCTTTAACAACGCAAGTGAAAATTGTAACATAAATAAATAGACGTACCTGGCAATTATGATGTGTACAGCGTAGAATTACTTTATTCGACTTGTTGACAACGACCGTTGTTATGGTACTTGCACACAGACACAGCGCACTTGTATTAAATAATGACAATGTGACAAATATGTAATTCGCGACAACTCGATAAAAGATCAAACACTCATCGGAGACACTTTAAGACCACGGTTAATCAGTAATTTATCTAAAACCTTGTGGCGGGTTTCGCGCCACATTTCTTCTTCCCGCTGCGCGTCGCTCGCGGCGGACGTCGGCCACGCCCCTCGCCGTTGGCGTTCAACGGTCATCGTCCACAGCTCCGCTCGACTCGACGTTTCGACCGCTCCGCTCGCTCTTTCCGCACCGACACCGTTCGCGAAACATTGTTTTCCGCCTCCGAATAATTATTATGTATAATTGTTTTTCTTAACTAATGTTGTTTTTAATTGTTGCGTGCTCGCGTTTTCCTCCGTCATAAGCCATCTGCTGACGATCACTTGTTTTATGTCTTTATGTTGTAAATAAACGTTTCTTTATTACCTTATCATAAACCTCGTGTCTTGGTGTAACCCGCCAAAACCTGAATGATCCACGTTAGTGGACTAACGATAGATAACAAAGGGTACCAACGTTTTACGTGGAAATCCATTTTTATCCATATTTATAGAATTCAATAAAGGCAATTCGTATGATAGATAGTAGTTACCTACTATTTGATTTGGTAAGCAACCGATAACTAGTGGACGAGCTAGTAAAATTAAAATTAAATAAAAATATTATCAAAATTTGTATGATATAATATCAATTTAAGTTGAGAAATTAATATTTCCAAAATATTTTGTTTAAATTATATTATAAATGTTTAGAAAATAATTAAATAATAACATTAACATAATGTTTTCAATTATATGTTAGTTAAATAAGTTTAATTGAACGTTATGATAATATTGTTTTTAAAATGTATAAAATGTAATCTAATTGTAATATTATCATAATATTAATGTTACAGAATTGCTGTGTAGATGCACCTATATTAAAAATTCCAAAAATAGATGGAGTAGTAATTAAAATAAATTTTGGTGTTTAAATTCATAATTTCCGTCAATCCTTTGACGAGATGTTCCACTTTTAATTTTGGGTCGGGAGAGAGTACCTAGGGGATGGGGAGCATCATTTGCGAGACGGCACAGCCCGTGACGTTTTAAGAATATACCACTACTCTCCCCTGTTCCAAAATTAAAAGTGGAATATCTCGTTAACGGATTGATGGAAAAATAAAATTTAAACACTAACATTTATTTTAACTACTCCGTATAATTATGGAATTTTTATTATAAGTTGCCAGTTTAATATCAAAAGTAAATAGTACTTTCACTCCCAAAAATTAGGGTGACAAAAAATAACATGAATGTAAAATTGCAGAGCTGCTTGTTTCTAAAATTGTCTATAAAACAAGTGTCGAGAAAAGTTAATACTTTCCCAGATAATGAGTGTCTTATGATAGATTGATCACTCTGTATAATAAAAAGCCTCATAAAAAATGTTTAAGTATATGAGGTATATTATTGTAAATAATTATTTAGCATGATAATTATTATTTGTATTATGTCATTTTAGATTCGGAGCGTAGCGAGGGATCTATTTATTTTACTACGGTGCGTATGTATTTTCTTTAGTTGATACATTGGAGTGGTCTCTTTTTGTTTTTCCAGGGGTTTTCGGAATAATTGGGAAAAATCGAAGTAAAATTATATGTAAAACGGCAAATATTCACGGCGTACCGCGGCGTTGCCGTTTTCATTATATTCATTGTATTATATTTAAAAAAATATTACTTTAATCGAAAAATGACAAGCGATTGATTTTGTTCCTATTAATATTTTGCTTTTGACAGAGTGGGTCATTTTTCAAAATGCAAAGTAATTTTCAAATAATTTTGAAAAACCAAAAAATTAAAATTGATTACTTTTTACGGCAACATAGTGAGTAGTATAAAAAGGAGAGTTCTACGCCAGGAGTAGGAGCAGGAGCGAGGATCAAGTGCTATACCTAATACATGGCCGCCCGAATTGCCTACCACTTTATATACCTAGTTTACATTCAGCTCACTTCCGTGGCAGTGAGAGCATAAAAATGGGCAGCGCGAGTATGTAAACACGTCACTCGCGCTGATCATGCTCCTCGCACTGACGCTGCCCGACGCTCCCGTCAAGAGCGGTAAAGTGAGCAGCAACATAACCGGCAATGCTATCAATCCGGTCAATTGCTGCTCGCGCTGCTACAATTAGCAGGCCAATGTAAACACTCACTGCCGTCGACGCTGTCACAGAAGTATTTTGTGGAGTAAATACGGCAGCGCGAGTGGCTATGGCAGCGACTGAATGTAAACTAGGTATAAACTAGGTAATAGACTATTTAGGTCACGCCAACTTTCGATATTACAAGTATTACCACACCGTTATCACCGACATCATTACCACACTGTTATCACGGTTATATCTGCTGTTATCACAAGTTAAATTATCGTTATACTTTTATGGTTACTCTTACCATATTTATTTTATCACGACTATACCTACTGTTATTACAAGATGTACCTAATACATATATCGGTATACCTACTGTTATCACAAGATGATGTTTCAACGTATCTTTTATACATAGCGAGAATTTCGTATACCTATACGAAATATATTTTCCCCGTCTGTGTCACACACACGCCATCTGCTCCCTGTCGATTATTTTAACAAAATAATATTACCTACACGGAATATAACCGTCGTCACAACCCCCGTCACCACCTCCTTCCCGTATAATACGAAATATTATCGTATAATATAATCGTTGGCGACAACGGACCTCTCGATCCTCTACATTACGCGTATCGTTCCGAAAATCTATTACGAAAAAATGTATATATATATATATATATATAGTCAGCAGCGTACACAGTGTGTTTCTTGCATGTAAGGACCTGTATGAGAAAATGTATTGTTCTCGGTTTTCCTGTTCGATCATGCAGAAATTCTTTCTGCGAATATAAACCGATTTTTGTAGGTATTGGATCGGTAACGATCCGATCGTCAGTAGTGATTTTACTACAAACCGGTGCACTCGTCTTTTCCAGTTTTCTCATCGCTTTCGTTTTGTGTTAATTTTTTTTTAACTCTTGTAATACAACGTTTTTTTTTCCGCAAACTGACCTATCGAATGCCGGACCGTCCAACAAAGATGTATGGCAGAGCGACTTTGAAGACGACGACGAGTTGCTTGCGGCACTTGTCATGGATTTTGAAATGGATAAAGGTAAGATTTTTTTTATTATGACCCGCTACGTAGCGAGAGAATAATTTTTAATTTTTTTTTTCGGTAGGTAGGAAACGTGTACTTAACCTTTCAGCAGGCGCGTATGCACATTTTGTACGACAATTATAGATTTATTGACATAAATTTTATTTACGTATCCCGATTAATACTGGGATTTTTCCTATTCCACAATGACGTATATGTTATAAACACTTAATAATTGTTATCTAATCTTACGTATTTCTCAAATTATTATTGATGTATATTTCAGTCAACTCCGTCCGATCGCCCGAAATACGTCTCGCGCCTGGTCGTAATAATATTATTTTTTTTTTCATACAAATATTTTTCTTTTTATTTATTTTCGTGTATTGCTTTTTTCACCTCATTATGGACGATATTGCGCGTATGTTACAAGAATTATCAGACGAAGAAGTAGGAGATAATTTTGAAGATTTTGATAGTGACAGTGATCTTAGTGACGAAAATATTGTTTACGATAATTTTGACAGTGATTCGGTACAGAATATTTCGGATGAAGAAGTAGAAGCAATGTACACAGATGAACTGTACTATACCGGAAAAGATAAGGTTAGTAAATGGCGTAAAACTGAGTTCACCAAGCACTCAAAAACTAAAAAACATAATATAATAAAAACTTCCTCCGGTCTCACCTCTCATTATAAAAATATTGAAAGTGAAATTGACTCATTCATGAAAATAATCGATTTGGATATAGTAGACGAAATCGTAAAATATACCAATATGTATATAAATGATAAAAAAACAACTTATAATTATTCAAGGGACAGGGACGTGAACTATTAGCATATTTTGGATTGTTATACCTAATAGCAATCAAAAAAGGACACCATACGAATGTTTTGGAACTATGGGCCAACGATGGGACAGGAATCGAAATTACTAGAGTGGTTATGAGCTACAAACGGTTTTTATTTATAACACGTTGTTTACAATTTGATGACCGATCAACTAGAGCTGATAGGCGTAAATTTGATAAATTGTCAGCTATTCGTTTATTTTTGGATTCTTTTGTAAATAATTCTAGGGCTTCTTATAATATGAGTGAATTTACTACAATAGACGAAATGCTTCATCCATTCCGTGGTCGTTGTCAGTGGATTCAATATATACCAAGCAAACCAGCAAAATATGGTATCAAAATGTATGCTTTATATGACGCAAAATATTTTTACACGTCAAATTTGGAAGTTTATTGTGGTAAACAGCCAGAAGGGCCGTATGATAATTCAAACGCACCAATGGAAATTGTAAAAAGGTTGATAACGGATATCGAAAAGTCCAATAGGAATCTTACCACTGATAATTACTATACAAGCATTCCTTTAGCCGAGTATTTGATGCAAAAACAAATAACTCTTGTTGGTACACTGAAAAAAAACAAGAGAGAGATTCCTCCTGAGTTTCTTCTCCATAAGAACAAAGCTGTTTCCTCCAGTATATTTGATTTCCAAAAATATAAAATGCTCACTTCTTACGTTCCTCGTAAAAATAAAACTGTTATATTACTTTCTACGATGCATGAAAAGAGAAGCCTTGATAATTTTACTAAAAATCCAAAAATAATCACGGATTATAATAGTACAAAAGGTGGTGTAGATATTGTTTATAAAACGTGTGCTACTTATACCTTGTCTAGAATTACGAAACGTTGGCCTTGTGTGATTTTTTATAGTCTAATGAATATCGCCGGAATAAACGCTCAAGTTTTATATGCATTTTCAAAGCCGAATGATGCACCGAATCGGCGTAGAATTTTTCTAAAAAATTTGTCTATGAGTCTAATGAAAGAACACCTTATTTCAAGATCGAAAATTAAAACACTACCAATGGATGTATCAGTTTTTTAAAAAAAATACCAAACGGAAAACGTTGTCGAAGATGTACAGGAGCCTCCTAAGAAGCGCGGAGTTTGTCGTTTATGTACGATCGAAAAAAAGAATGCAAGTTGTACACATGTAAGAAGCATTCTAGCAAGCATGAAATAATTTGTCAGACATGTAATGACGAAAGTTTATCAGACTAGAATTCGATTATTTATTTATTTTATAATGTATTATTTTATACTGTGTTACTTTTATTTAGTAAGAAACAGAAAAAAAAATCGTGTTTTATTAACAATTATATTGATATTATCATTATTTATTTATCCTTCATTTTAATTAAATATATATGAAAAGCATTCTGTTGTATAAAGTACGACACGCGCCTGCCAAAAAGTTAAAGAAGATACCGCTGCTAGAGTGAAAAAAGCTAGGCCGACTCTATTGAAAACACCGAGATTCATCGAAATCGATTCTTCTTTCAACCGCAAAATCGTATTGTACTACGTCAAAAATCTCACAAATATACAAAATTACAGACAATTTTTCCATTAAATCAAACACGCACTTATAAACCTACTCGAAAAACTTATACAAGAAAACCCGATTAAATTCATTTTGAAACTAGAGTCAACATACTACAAACCACAATGTAGAAAATTCCGCCGAGAACAGAGCGTTCAAGACCTTAGCCAGGAAAATATTTTTCGATATTTTCCCGGATATTATGGAAACCGTTTAAAAAATCAAAAAATGACTTACCAAAAGTACCATTCAGAATTTTAACTGAATAGCTGATAGTGTATAGAAAATTGTAACGATACACAACTGTTTCAGCTACCATAAAAAATAATTGACACGTTCGTCTTATAATTGAATATCGAGATTCAGTTGTCCAAATATGAGGCCATATAGTAATGTGTAGAGAGTGTTTTTTTTTTTTTTTTTTTCACAATACATCTAAACCTTGCGGAATAAAATAGAAACTTGTTTCATCACTCAAAGAATTAAAATTACTAATTTGATTTTGCATATTTTTGCATGTTTGTTCGATTTTTACTTGTCTGATCATATTTTTATAATCATCATTGCTTTTAGTGCATATTTTAGGTTTCTCGTAATATATAACCCACAGTGATTATTTTTACCAAAACGGGAAAAACCTGAACAAGTACTTCTCGATACAATATTAATACGCACGGTTAGTATGACATCCAAAACGATTGAATCCGAAAAAAATAAAAATATACATACGAATGCAATGCAAAGTAACTTTAAAATTGTTATATTCTACATTTTACTTATTTTATTCCAAAAAATCTCATTTAAGTAATAATAGTCAATTCATTGTATATAAATACTCATACTTCGATATAATATAAGTGTTCAAATATATATCATGTGTGTTTTTAATTGTACAATTAAATCGTTTGGATCCGAACAATCAAATTATTACTGATAAAAATCTGATATAAGAAGTGCATTACAAGTTCTTGCACTAATCGTGCGTATTGTCGCGATAAATTTTATATCAGTATTTCAGTTGTGTTATGTGTTCAGTAGTCCACGTTTGTTCGTTTTGTTTTCGTCCGAAGTGAGTTTCTATACTTTATAAAGTTTAATATACCTATTTATTCTAAAATACCGAAAACTTTTAAATCGTCGTGACTACGTATTTTTGTTTCTGAATTTAAATTGTTTATCTACCACCAACGGAATTGTTTTATACTGTACATTGTGTAATATTTACTTCAGTAAATGGTGCTTGACGTTTTTTAGTGCTTCAACATATTAATACAAATAAACATATCAAAAATTCCAAAGATAAACATTTGTCAACAATAATTTTATTGATACATATCTTAAATAAATTCCAAGCATATTTGTATACTTCATAGTGCATATTTTTTAATTTGTTTGAGCATAAAAATCCGCTCTCTTGTAATGTGATGTTGAAGGAATATTTCTTAGTTATTTCCTATTTGCAAACTATAATAATATGAGACATCGTGTTTTGTTATAGAGTTTAGATACTGTAGCTAAATAAGACATTACAAAAGAAGTCTATCACTATGTCTGACGTAGGTATATTCCGAAAATATTTGCCGGTTAATATCGAAGAGCCAAGTTAGGGTAGATTACGTTAGGTTTGGAGTCAAATGAATCATGGTCCTTCTAGGTCGTCTGTCCCGTTATTAATGACTTTATCGCTCCCACAATGTTCAGAATTTGAATGTCATCGGTTTTTGGAGGATAGATAACTATACAAATATTTTATTGATATTTTACCCTAACAAAATGCGTAACTTTTCTTCCATCAAAACGATTAGCGAAAGTTTTTATTCCCCGCGGTCTTTTAATGTTTGCAGGTACTATCGGATTTTCGCCCGAAAACGGTCGAACAATATTATAATAATATCCTTATTTTATATATTCTTCGAAATTGATACACTTTAACAACACGTTTTACATAGGTCACGGCACAGGTGACTTTAACTCACTCGATCATAATTTTATTTTTATTTTTTGATTTTGAATGAAAATAAAATAACGTGCACAATTCGTCTTTGATATTATGTATAAATATCGTTTCTGTACATCATTTCTGCCATGATTAAACAATTTCGATTTTAATTAAGAATTTTGTGTGTTAAGTTGTTCCTAAATTATTTATGTTATCATTATTTTTAACGATTCGTTCGTGTACATTTATAATAGGGAAGAAAAAATATATTTAAACATATAGTTTTGGACTCTTTAATTTTTTTCATATGGTCACATTTGGTATGTAGGTGTATTATATTGATTTACGTCATTTGTCTGTAGAGTGTAGATGGTTATCATTGAAAAGATACAAATCGCACGTTTAGTAATAAACAACGGAAATGAGAATGACACAATAAATGTATAGGTATATAGTTTAAATGTGATAATATGTTAAAAATCGTGAAAAACTGAGAAAAAACGGGGAAAACGGAAAAAACAATACAATATTAAACAAATATTATTAAAGAAAATCTATAATGCCTATTTAATTATTTTACCATAATATGACATATATATATATAGTTGACAAAGCATCACTATCAATTGAACTGCGCTCAGAATCGTTTTTTCGTTAGCAATGGTTGGTCGTTGGTTTAGTTTTAATGTTTTAAACACAATTTAACATAATCTCATATTATAACGAAATCATGAGCAGTTGGCATAAATAGTGTCTATTCGACATATAAATATAATATGATGCATAATATTATCTAATGACTGTCAGTGTGATTAAAGTTATAATCTTTTTGATAAAACCGCAGATTTATAAAGTCATAATAGCCTTTCGTATTTCGTATCATTACTGGTCTACTCTGTTATAATATGTCTATGCAAATAACAAGAATTTTTTTTTCCATGAGTTAATATCATTCAATAATATAATAATTAAATTCTAATTATTTTTAAAAATGTGTTAAAAATATTGAATAGCACAAAAGTTATTTCAAATCGCAGATATTCGTGTTACACTCTGTATAACTATAATATATTATTATAACATCGATCGACCGTTTTCGTTGGACGAAAACCCGATTGAACCCGTAAATAATAAAATGCCGCAGAAAATTAAAAAGTTTTGCCACACGTTTTGTTCAAAAAGAGTTCTGCGTTTTATTTACCATACGAGTGTTTTAAATCGATAAAATATTTATATAGGTACTCTCGAAAGCCAACGACAATCGAAAACGATAAATACATTGCAAGAACGATAAAATCATTCGTGACGGGACAGAAGACTAGGTAGGACCGTAGTTCGTTGGATTATAAAACTAACCTAATCTATAATCTTCCCCTTCGATATTATCTGGCTAGTGTCTCCGGTGACCATATACCGAAATATAATTCAGACACGATGGTGAAGGTGGACTACCGAACAGGACTCAATACCGCCGCATCCACCAACAGGCCGCCAGCCATCAATTTGACACCATTCCAATTGTTCTGCATCCGGTGGAGCGTGTTTTTCGACAAGACCACAGACAGGCTGTCGCCGACCGAAACGGTGTTTCGAACCATTCAGATGTCCACCATGGTAATTACCGGGTTGATGACCATGACATCGGTGCTTTTCGCTGACAACAAAAAAGCACTGGAGTCGTTCACGTATTTCATCATATGCGTCTTCTTGCTGGCCATCAGTATTTTTGCAATCCGGACGAAGCGGTTCAACCGGCACATGTTGCTCATGATCGAGGAGGAGTTTCCCAGCTACGATCGGCCCGTCCCCGAGGATCTTCGGCGTAAGCTGACTGGTATACGGACGTCTTACGGCGACTTTACCAAGCGCGTGATATTGTCGTACTTGGCGTTGGTCGTGTTCGAGGTGCAAGCCACGGCACTGGTACCGCTCACGGCTGCTTGGTTCACCCCGACCAAATTGGGTACGCAATCCACTCAGATGGTGGTCATGTGGTTCCCGGGTGACACAACTCAGGTTAAATATTGTTTGTATTAATTGTTTTATGTTGCGATGTAAAATGGAAATTTCGACAGGATATATCCAAAACCACAGCCTGTCGTCTCTAATTTTTCAGTCCTGCGGGGTTTGATTTTTAACTTAAGTTCGGATGTTTCAGATATTTCCTAAAATTTTAAACTATTTTGGTGATTTTTGAGCTATTGATAGATTTGTTTATGGGCAAGTTTTGTATGCAATTTTTATTTGGTGGGTTACTATATGTGGATTTAATTGTTTGAAAAATAGAAATGTATGTAAATTTAACAGAAATATTAGTTGTACTCAGTGGTCAAATACGAAAAGTAGAGTGTAAGAAATAATTAATTTTTTTTAATGTTGTTTTAAGAATAAATTCAAAAAAACAAAATTAAATTAATTTATCAAACAGCTGTGATAGGCTGTAGGGTAGCTTTACAAATCATATATAAACGAATTTTGCTCGGAATCGTTTTTCGTTATATTAATGGTTTATCGTTGATCATAGATATAAAATACCTAATATCGTGTATCTTACTATCCCAACTTCTCACATATAATAGTGGTGCGATAATCATCAGTATCAGCTTTTTAGATTCTGAGAAGCTTATGGTTTTAGAAAGATGTTTATTTATTTTATTTTTTGTGAACAATTTTTTACTAGAGAAATTGCTCCGATATTTAAGTGAAACACTTTTTCTGAAAGGAAATCGGCGTGGAGTACCTCTCCACCTTTCGAGAGGTTTTTGATTTTCTCAGGAGTTTTTTCAACAAATATGAAAACCTGAAAAAAAAACTTAGGAAAAACGGGAAATTGTACAAAATATATTATGAAAATATTACGATTTTTTTTTCTATGAACAACTTTTCTACCAGTAATTTAGCTCCAATTTATAATAATAGCCATTTTTCTATAAGAAAATCTGTCTGGGGAGGTACTTTTGAAGAGGTTATTTTTTGATTTTCCCACTAGTTTTCCCAATAAATGGGAAATCCTGGAAAAACCGTAGGAAAATGGGAAAATAAGTAGATATGAAATTGAACAAATATTTTTATAAAGAAACTATATATTGTCTATGTGATTATTTTAGCATAATATATGATATAGGTATATAAAAATAAAATATATCGTTGCTTACATTAAATTACCTGTAACAGTAGTTGCACCCGACCTTATTATCTTAGGATAGCTTTTGTGTTTTATTGGTCTAGTACTACGTAAGCTAAATTTTTTTTTTCGTAATTTCTATGATTAGTATACATGAAATTCAATTTTCCTCTTTTTCTTTTCGTCTTTTTTTTATGCTTTTTACTATGTAATTAATTTTTTGGAATTTTAATTAATAATAACTAAATAACGTTATTAGTGGTTTTATTTTTTAGGATTTTTGTAGTTTTTTCAAGATTTTTACTGCTTATTGATTTATTTTAATTGCTTTTATTGAGCTACTAACATAATTTATAACAAAACTTTGCTTCTCTATATTTCTCTATGGTTTGTCGTGATTTGTAAATAAGTAGTAAATCCTTCCTTCATCACCTTTTATGGCCTTCGACATACCGTCATTGATTGTAAAATTTTTAAAAAAAGGAAACATAGTATAATATAAAATATGATATATCTATAATATATATAACAAAACGATAATTAACCATAATAAGCCGTAGCGATCGGCTGAAAATTGTTTGGAAATTTGGACCATTGCACACTTTATTTTAGTATATATTTCGAGTAGACTACCTAAACCCAAGTTAAAAGAAACAAATTTATAATACATCATATTCTTTAAATTTTTTTTTCTCTGCTAAATTTATTACAATTACAGAATTATTTAAAATAACACGATATCATGACTGTTGCAGGCGTTCATGAATGATGTTTACGATTTTTCCTAATAGAATCCAAATCTTCTTGACGATGATGTCTCGAATTTCTCGTTAATTTCTCTTTTGGAGAACGGAGCCTCAATATAAAATCACAATGTGAATGAGTTAATTTTTTACGACGATAATTTAAATACTGAATTCGGTCCGTTGTTTAATGAAACAAACGAATTTTTGTTTGCCTGCCTGTAACGCTATTTCTCATATTCATATTTAAAACATAAATTATTATAGCATTAAGATTATGATTGGAGTTTAAACACAAGAAAAAATAAGTAAAAATGAGTATATATTTTCGAAGGCTGTACGTATTTTTTCCTAAAAACTATTACTGTACAATAAATTTGAATACATGTAAGTTATTGCTTTTTTTATTAATATCTAGCTGTAGTTATTTAAGTAAAATATTTTTATTTTTAATTAAACTCTAATAAATTCAATCCAAATGCCACAATTTATATTCTAACTTCCAAGTAATGTAGTTTTGCTATGTTATGTGTTTGTAAGAGAAAAAACGCATGTGATTATGACACCCTTCATAAAATATTGTACGTGTAACATTTATAATTTATTCTTTGTAATAATTACAACTGCAACGCATCTATGTGCACCTAGTTTTCTAAATTGTAAATGCACATGAAGATGTTATTGGTCGTTGGCCGTTGCAGTCAAATTTTATCAGATGACATACAATAAATTGTTGTCAGTTGATCTTTAATAATTTAATATTATTTAAATTTCAGTCTATCAGTTTGAATTTTTTATACGCAATAATGATTGTTTCAATTTTAACCATTTTATTTATAACCAAGTTTTTGCCATTAAGATTTGGTGCATTTGGATTTAGCACTAACCATTTTAAACATTTCAATGCCCGTTATAACCCGTCGTGAATGTTGACCACACAACTATTATCAATATTATAATATCAAATGTGCTATACGATTTCCAGGTCGAAATTTACGCGTTTACGTTTGCGATCCAATACTCGATTGTGTTGATCGTTAAGACCATCATCACCGGTACTCTGTGCTCGTTCTCATTTTTCGTAAGCCAAATGATCGCCGAGTTCGAAATACTGGCCGCCTACATTGAACACGCCGTGGAAATCGTCGAGTTCAACCGATCTACTGGGCGGACAACCGAACGAGAACTGTTGGACCACATTCGGAATTGTGTGAAGCTGCACAACCGACTTATACACTTCAAGGACGAGCTGAACGAAAGCTACAATTACATAATACTGCTGGAGTTAATGTTTAGCACGCTGTACTTTTGCCTTTCAGCATTCAACATGATATTCGTAGGCAGCAAGTTCACCATAGTCAAGGGCCTACTAACGCTGTCCAACTATCTGACCGAACTGTTCATATTCTGCATGTATGGTAGCATGGTTGAGGATGCGCATATACACCTGCTGAGAGCCTCGTACGGTTCGGCATGGTACTTGCAGCCCATCCGGTGCCGAAACTCCCTGATGATGATCATGTCTAGGTCACAGATACCGTTACAGTTGACCGTCGGCAAGGTGTTCTTGGCCAGTCTGCCGTTATTTTTGTCCGTGCTCAAAGTCTCGTATTCGGGTGTCAACGCTCTGAGGGCAGCAAACGCAAAATAATCATAAAAGCGTGTGCCCTATAGTAATAATAGTGGTAGGAATAAGGTCAGTGAATTAAGATGACAAAAACAACACAATATTATAAATTAGTCAACAAACCTAATAAGTTGCCTGACGGTTTCGTGAACCTCACACGAAACCGTCATCAAATTATATCTCATGTGTTATGAGTTTTTCCACCAAATGTGAAAAATCGGGGAAAAACGTGGGAAAACTAGAAAAATGGGAAAATCAGTACAATATTAAAAAAAATATTATTAAAGAAAATTTATAATGCCTATTAAATTAATTTAATATAAAATGACATATATATTATTGAAAAAACATCACTATTAACTGAACTCCGCTCAGAATCGTTTTAGTAAGCAATGGTTTATCGTTGTTTACAGATACAAATTATTTTCCTCTCTATTTCCTACCTTCTCAACTTTTCACCAAAAACAGTGGCTACACCGTGCGAAGTATGATCGTCTTTTTTTTTTTATTTAGTGAAAAATATTCGTAGAGACTTGAAATTCTGACGGAAACCTTATATTTGCTTTTTATATTCGTGGCCAAGTTTTCAAAACATTTGAACCATTTTTAAGCTATTAGACATTTTAATTTTGCGAGATTGCCTATTCAAGCGCCTGGCCGAAGGAGTCAAACCCTCGCAACCCCCATTATATAAATACACACTGTATGACATAGGTATTATATGATAATAAAGTGATTAACAACTAAAATCTGTCCACTCCACTACCATCAGTCAACTGAAATAAGTCACCGTTAACCGGCGCATTGATACAGTTACAGTTGGAGAATTGGGAATTTTTTTTTTCATTAAATTCATGATTTTTAATAATTTTTTAAAGTTCAGAGAAAAATATCTATAATTATGCAGCAGGCTGAAATCGCATTCGCTAATTGATTATTATTATTATGGTTAGTTGATTGAACATTTTTTTTCTCTGAATTTAAAAAAATTATTAAAAATTACGAATTTAATGAAAATAAAAATTGATACGTATAAATGTTCAGAAGAATAAACTCTATAAAATGGTTATCTACAAATTTTTCGAAAATAATAAAATAAAAAGTTTTTTTTTCGTTTTTTGTACTAAAACATACAAATTAAATTTAAATATAAATATTTGTAGTCCATACTCTTGCGAGTAATCTAAATAATAATAGAAATGTATTATCTGTATTATCTTAGGGGATATTATAATCTGTATATTAGCTTCGTGGTACACCTTGTATAATATGTAAAAAATTAGATAATATTTGAACTTTTCGTTATATTTTTAATGTAATATTAGTCATATTAAATACGTCGTAAAACTCGGAAAAGATAATTTATTGTAATAATTATACGATATCTGTATAGTTTACGGTAACCATATACCTAGAGCGAGCAACTTGAATTGGTTATTTCTCCGTGGACCGTGATCGTATCAAAACAATATATGGCAAATACCGGTTACACTATAATAATAATAATAATAATAATATATGGTTACTACTTATACAATATTCAATGCATGAACGAATAAAAATCTGGTTAATTACATACTTTTTTTTTTGGACCTTTTGAAATGAGTAAAAGCTCTAGAAAATCGACTCTTATAATGAAAATAAAAATGTAACAGGCAAAAGTTATTCCCAAATATTCCTACTCCCGAGAGTAACTTATTTCGGGAGTAAGATATTTCTGACCTAACCGGCAATTCTTACTCCCATATTATATTCTTACTCGACCAGTTATGTTGGTCGGGGAGTAACATTTTAAGGAAATTCTCACTCCCTTACAATTTATATTAGTTCTTTTTCAAAAAAATATTATAGCATTATGCCTATGTGAACATGAAACACGATTACCGTATATTTTTATTAATGCAGTAAAACACATTATTTTATAATATTTTATAATGAAATAAAATTAAAATAAAATAAGCTTACCCATACCTACATTATCTTTTTAACATACTAACAAGTTTATTACTATCGCTAAATTGTTATTTATAAACTATAAAATGTAGTAATACAATGTGTGTTCACATTATAGCAAATTTGTATTTTGAATTTTGACGAACATTTGTGTGTCAAAAATTAGACAAGTTTGGACCGGGTGAGAAATGCTTATGCGTTGCGTTTGTATTAGTGGCGTACAATCCACATGATCCAACCTGTTGTCGGTCATGATCAAAGAAATTCGTGTTATGCGGCACTCAGTTTGGACGATTTTATTTTACCACGACCATTTTATTACGCACGATTAGTGAATAAATCATTTGATTTTGATAGTTTTTCAAAAATGTATTCAATTATATTTATCAATGAAGTGGTGCCAAAATTATTGCCTCCTACTCATACAAGAGTTCGAAAAACGTACTATATTGTGGTACTCAAAAGATCCACATCATTTTTCTAAGACCAAAAAGTATGATGCATAGTTTAAAATAGCATAAGAATTGAACACATATATATACCTAAAAACCCCTATTTTACTTCCTTAGGGGTTGAATTTTTGAATTTTCAAAAATTCCACCCCTAAGGGGATGCTACGTCATAATATTTATCTGTGTGCCAAATTTTAGCCCAATCCATCCAGTGGTTTGGGCTTGGCGATGATGAATCTTTCAGTCAGACATGTTACTTTATATATATATATATATATATACATAGATTATGAGAATAAATTTATTTTAAGAATATAAAACTACAAAATATTAAAAATTAAAAAAATTTTAAATATTACTTAATAGTATATATTATTATATGAAAGTTTTATTTTTATTGGGATCCGAGNACTCAAAAGATCCACATCATTTTTCTAAGACCAAAAAGTATGATGCATAGTTTAAAATAGCATAAGAATTGAACACAAACCATCAACCTCATTCATAACTGCGGAGATTCTTAAAAATAAATAATAAAATTAATTAAAAAGTAAACTAAACTATGGGTCCACACTACAGAGTTAACACTAACTACAGAATGTTGCTACAACACAATGTTTTGTAATTTTACACCGCAACGTCCTAGTGTCAAAATACAACGCACGACGCACAATATACAGTTGCAAAATATTTCTAATTTTCGACGAATAAGTGTGTGTCAAGATTAAAATACAACGCACACACAAATTAGCTCTATTGTCGAAGAACATTAATAATAAGTTTTTTTTTTTTGTTGATGCGTCGTATTGTGCTGAGCAGTGGTCACCTTTGCTACTATATAAACAGTGTAATTTTAACGTACTAACTCTAAAATTATATTTTGTTCTATATTATTTTGTATAATATGTCTTAATAATTATTAGACAATTGTCTAAGATATAACAATAAGTTAATAGATAATATTGTTATAATGTTTCGACCTTAAGAAGCCAATAATAATCAACTAGATGGAGTCGTCATGGAAGTTATAGAAAGTAAGTAGGTATAGTAAAATTAATCATAATTGGACAGTGTTCATAAATAGGGCAACTAGTCATATTGGTACCCCACACAAGTCCCCTCCATAGTTTGATACCATAAAGTCTCTTTCTAGAGAACTAGCTTGGAATTTGTCTGAACATTGCTAAACTTTGGAAATGGTTCCTAGTGCATCTTCAATCCACCTTCTTCAAATTTAGTATTAATGGGAAGGGATCGGAATAGGGGAACCAGAGATTTCGATCGATGCAATTCGAGAGTGTCCGTCCCGCGCTCGGCGTTGCCCGTGCCAATTTTTATTATTATTATTTTACCTATATTCGTTTTTGGTTTTGGCCGCGTCAGAATTGAATCAAAACAAATAGGTGGAAAGTGGATAGTCCACCTTCGGCGGACTAATTGTGTTTTATTGTGAAATTAATATAAACTAATATAGTGTAAATAATAGTGATTATAATAATTAAAATAGTTTTCTTTTCCGTAATACCAAGGTAACTCTTGAATAAACAAAAATAAATAAATAAACAATTAGATACTCGTACCAAATATACCTAAAAACCCCTATTTTACTTCCTTAGGGGTTGAATTTTCAAAAATTCCACCCCTAAAGGGATGCTACGTTATAATATTTATCTGTGTGCCAAATTTTAGCCCAATCCATCCAGTGGTTTGGGCTTGGCGATGATGAATCATTCAGTCAGACATGTTACTTTATATATATATATAGATTATGAGAATAAATTTATTTTAAGAATATAAAACTACAAAATATTAAAAATTAAAAAAATTTTAAATATTACTTAATAGTATATATTATTATATGAAAGTTTTATTTTTATTGGGATCCGAGAGCGATAAAGAAACTAATGCAACTAAAATAACAATACATTTATTTTAAAATTGTTTCTTTTAATCATAAATAAATATATTTATTTTTTTTTGTAATTATAAATAAAATGTAATAGCTCGTCAAAATATTCTTACTCATTTTTCACTATGGTGAAAATTATAAATAAAACAATATCTACTTGCATGATGTGGCTCAGTCTCCACAAAACGTTGGACACCCCTGCCTAAAATCTTTATCATTGAAAAAAACAATACCTAGATTTAACACTGGCTATAAGGCATTCAGACACGGGGTTTCACTCGGTCAGTTTTTGTATTATTGTTACTTTTGGCACGACGACGGTGATATATTCTATACATTTTCGTCATTTGCTTGCAGATGGTTATTAGTCTAGATTAGGGTGACCATAGGCTTATGGTTTATTAGTCCTGTTTTGTGCAGGATTGTCTTGTTGTCCTCACGAACTTCTTGCAGAACGTTTTTTTGTCCTGATTTTATGTCGATGTAAATTATTCCGTAATAACTCTTATTTTTTTTAATTAGGTATAAATATTTTATAGTTTTATTATACTAATTAAAATTTTATTTTATTTTTGAATAAAATAAATATATTGACAAAAATATTCGTTATAGATCATAACAGTAATTTCGATTGTATTCATGAAAAATAATAACCACGCGAATCGATACCGGTAATAGTATTATCACCCCAGTGGCGAATATGGATCTCAATCAAAAAGAGGGTGGTTTAAAAATTGTAACGTACTACAAAATATTGCAAAAGGTTTCTTCGTCTCAAAAAACAGTTATCATTTCTTTTGTATAATTCCTTGGTAATTAAAAAAATAGTTTATAGGTATAAATTATAATTAATAATATACAAAAAAAAAAAAAAAAAAAAAAAATGATTTATGTATAATATATGTTACGATCAAAAGCAAAAATCGGGCTAATCTCAGAAATGTGAAAAATTGAAATTTATGGACGCTTACATTTTGCTCAAATGATATTGGTTACCATACTACATAGATTTGTCCTGAAAAAAGTCGACATTTTGCCCAAGTATCGTGGATATTTCAAGTTTTGCTCCGACAAATTTGGCGTTATATATCGGCGTTTATCCTTAACGGCCGTAACTTAATATTCATAATATGTATAACAATTATACATGAAAATATTTACAACAATTTTAAAGCAGTATTCATTTTTTTTCTCCTACACACCAATCTATGATGACTACTGTTTGGACATTTACATCGATATCTCTGTAAGTATCATAGATAACAAATTTCCCTAGTTATATTATTATCACTACTTTTTGGTAACGCTGATAAAAATACCCAAGAAATAATAAATGAGACGGTTATAAATGCTATATTATTTTATTGACTATAGTCTATAGCCATAATTGAAAAATTACAGCAAAAAATTTCAATGAGGGGGAGATCCGCCCATCGCCCCCCCCTCAAATACGCCACAGTATCACCCTATACATCTAAGATATACGGGTGTATTTAAAATAATAAATAATATAGGAATTATTATGAAAAATTAACAAAAAAAAAACCTTTAATAATTAACAAATATTACTTTGAATGTATAACTGAAATTATTTTGTCCTGATTTTTATTTTTTTTTAATATCGTCATTTAAGTCTAGACTTTAGACACATAAATTTCACATGTACAATAATATAATATAAAGTGTAATAAAGTACCTACAAACAATATCCGAAAATGAGTACTATAAAATACATGTAAAACAGTTTATTCGATTTAATTTTGAATATTTTGTTTTTCAAATACATGTAGCAAAATATCTTAAAATTTAAATATCGTTATAGTACACTATAATATATATAAATACAATATTTACTATTGACGGAAAAAACAGTATACATTTTGTGTCTATACTTACTATAAATGATAATTTAAGAACTGTTTTATATAGGTAATACAAAACAATTATCAAACAGTATATAGTATACAGCATCATCGTAACATGATATTTACAATTTACATACTATTATTGGTAATATTATACAATTTTAATCTTTTTTTTATCCTAACGATATTAAATTATTATTGAACTCTAATAATATTATAAATATTATATACAAAAGGCAACAAAATAAAATAAAACACTTGGAAATTATATAAGGAGCTTAAGGGTCTTGTTTGTGGCTTTTTACAAAATGTTTAACAATATACGAACTGAATACATTTGGAAATAACTTAAATAAAAGCCTCTTTATAAGTCTTAATAAATAGTCCAATCAGTTTTAATCTGTATAACAAGGGGGCTTTTTATTACTCAATAACACGCTTTACAAGAAAAATTATCGTAAAAAGAAACATCGATTTTCAATCAATTTTAAAAAAAAAGTTCAACATACTTCTTAATATTTTGTTCTTCTTCCACCAATTAACCTTCGCCTACGAGACACAAGAGTTTTATATGTAAAGCAAATCTTTTGAGCAAAAAATAAAAACAGATTGTGTGCAACCCCCCTATAACAACACGAGTACAAACTATATAGGTTGATTCTTTTATCATGAACCAGTAATTTTCTCGAATCATTTAATGTGAATTTTTTTTTTTACTATTCATTATGAAATACAATGCATTTGTAGTTTCAGTTTTATTTTAAAACCATCTGTATTCTTTTATCTCTACTCTATATACCTTAAATAATTATAAACTTATGATTAACATATTATTAATATTTTGAAAAACAATCCCTCCAAATTTTTTGAACTCAGATTCGAAAGAGAATATTATTATTTTGGACATTTTGATGTGCTTAACACTGATATCAGATTTACCTTTTATGAGTGATAACAGTTTAAAATTTAAACCGGAGGAATAGGTAAGAGATAATAAATGGCATAGATTTTATTTATATAATAAATTGATAACTTTTCCTTACTCCGCCAGTCTAAACTTTTAACTGTTATAACTCATAAATGGCATATCTGATATTAGTGGTTTGCAAATTAAAATTTCTTGAACAATTTTCTCTATTTAAATCTGTGATTCAAAGGAAGGGAGTTTAAACGATTCCACAATGATTAAACGAAAAAAAAAAAACAGAAATCAAATTCACTTAGAATCCTTCGAGAAAATTACAGGTTCATAATAAAAGAATCACCCTGTATACCTCTATATTATATTATATACCGGAGATCACCTAAAAAATATGGTGAATTATTCATTTGAAGGATAATAATATATAGGAGGCGGTTTATTCACGTCGAGAAACATAATATTATGTTTGTGTATAGGTAGCTTTGAAAGTTTTATTATAGGTATACGATAACAGCGAGAAACACGCCGACAGACAAATATTTACTTGAAAACTGAAAAAGGTAATCCAACGAAAGTATAATGTAGCTCGAGTATTGTGTATAGGTGAATTATTTAACTTATTATTATATTATTATATTATTTACTTTCGACAAATATAGGTAACAATAATATGATATACGACCTTATATGCGTAGGAGTTTGACCGCGACGAAAATGTTTATTAGCCGACAATATACAAATACTCGTAGTATAAAAAATTATTAACAGTTATCTATATACCATTATAATGTAAGGCACTCGTATAAAATATACAGGGCGTTCTACGAAAATCCGACAAATGCAAAAATTTGTTCTGTTCGGTATTTTTTTTTTTTTTTTTGTAATAATTATTAAAATATCGTAGTGTGTTTCTACTTATTTTATAGTTTTCAATTAACTAAAAATAAAATAATTATTTTTATATAAAATCTATGATAGGCATTTATTTTGAAACAACATATTGATATTATAAATATAACATTATAAGTAGAGACTGAATTTATATGTTCTTAAAATACACAAAAAAGCATTTTCAAATTTTAAAACATCAAAAAGCCTTGAACAAAATTACTTAAAAAATATATGAAAACGCAAAAATAAAAAAAGGGTTTAATAGACCCCCTTCTAACGGATTTAATTTATGAATACAATTTTTCGATACCACAAAAATGATTAATAAAAAGTAATTTTTTGTTTATAATACCTACGATTTTATTTAAAAGAAATCATTATGTGTTAATCATTTTTTTAATGTAGAAAATTTAGTTTAATAACTTAGAGATATTAGAGAGGGACTTAAAAAACCCCTATATAATATCAGTTTTAGCGCAAATTAAAATCTTACCTAATTACCAAACACGAGGTATAGTATGATTACTATACTGACAAGGAGACTAAAGTGTCTTAGTTACTATTTTCTTAAAAATCATTAGTCATAATAACGTTATCAATATAAACTTCGTAATAAGTCTTAAGTTCAGTAACATTGATAGTTAGAGTTCGGGACTTAAAGCATTTTTTGTTTTTCGGCTGAATATAATATCTATCAGAATGCTATGGAAATTCGTGCCATGTTACAATGATCTTGAATATGAAATTTGAAAGTACTTTTTTTTTTTTAGCTTATTTCTATTGTTTTTAGACAAATTGCTCTTTTCTAATTTTTCTGATTTTTTTATTTATATTCATATTACTGCTTAATTATGACATATATCACTGATGAAAACCTAAACATTTTAGTTAATATTTGTTTTAGATTCTGAGTGAAGCAAAGAATGAATTATTCATTATAATGATGTGTTTTATTTATTTGTTCTTTCTATTAACAACTTTTCTCCTAGAAAACCTACTCCAATTAAAACATGATAAGAGGCCGTTTTCGTTGTGTTTTGGCTCTAGCTGGTACTTTATGAAGATTATTTGTTTGAAAATTTCATAAATATTCGAGATAACAAGTATAGTATTTAGGTAGGAAGTAGGTATTTGACTATTTGACTGAGTTATAGCAGTTTACGTAGGGTATTTCTAACTATCATAGTAACATTTATACAACTGCAGTACAATTGTTATTTATCAAATTAGTTTTTTTGTGTTTATTTATGTATTTATTATATTTAGCTCTATGTAATTAATTGTTTACAAAATTAATTTTATATACCCATGGTATATTTTTTCTTGCTTGAAAAATCTAAAAAAACCTACTGTATGTTACTTGCATTTACATGTGATTATTTCTTCAGGAGTTAAGTGAAAAACTTATTTTATTTTATAGTAGTTTGTAGTCAGTTAGTAAAAAAACTATTATACCATTTATTCTATCTAATTCAATCATTCATTATTTATTAGCTTTACATAGAACTATATGGATATAAATTTAAAGGGGGTACGAGTGCACGCACTGCATCCCTCAAATGATATCCCTGAATCTGACTATGTCTATCTGAAATATTTTGTGTTGCTATTTGACGAGTGAAACACACCGAATTAATGTATAGGTATGTATATTTTTAAGTTATATACTTAGTGTATTGGTACAAATCCAAACCACAACGGATGTCACCTGGTCATATAAAATTATAGTGGCGAAATTATGTTTAGGTTCACAGAGTTATCGCTTGAGGAAACTGTTGTGCTGTGCTACCCGTTTGAAGCGCTATTTTAAGCTCATTTACAGTAGACGCCGCTTATTGGGTTCACGGTGGACTCATTCATTTATTGGATTCAAACAGGTTAGTATTAATTTACACGTAAATACTAACATATGTAGAAATAAACAAGACCAATAAGACAAGTCCACTTTACAAAACTGTTTAGAAAAAAGAAAAAATCCATGAATATATGGGACTTATCTTCTATCTACCATATTAATATTTTCTTTGTATCTAATGGACGGACTTGCATTTTTGTTGCATCAAATTATGTATCATTTATTATTTTATTCGAAACGATCAAAAATTAATTTTCGTAAAGAAGTGAACTTGGTTCGTTATTGCACTGAGCTCTTTAATTCGTCTATTGGATTCATTATACCAGTTAACGATTTTATTTACGCCGTATCTAAAAAAAAAAAAAATATAAAAAATGTTCTATTCTCGGACCTTTCGTATTATCGACTCATTCGACTAATGGACTCGAATACTCCGGTCCAAGGTGAGTCCAATAAGCGGGGTCTACTGTATTACAATAATAAATAATACTATATTATCATTGTGCGTGCCGGGAATTCGTTTAAGTGTAGACCGTTGTCGGGTGGTACGTCTCGCTGTCGTTGCCCACGAACGTAGTTACGGTGGCGGTCTCGTCGTTTACCATCATGCCGTCACCACTACCCACACCGACGCCAACTCCGTGACCGTCAACTCCGCCTCCGTCGAAACCACCGCCGCCGCCCTTTGAGTTACCGTTTCTACTGGATTTGAACAGCACCGTCTTATCGCCGATGATGTTGGACTTCCGGTTGACTTTCGACCGGACCGTTAACTTGTGCCACGTGACCACTCTCACCGAAGCGACCGAATCGTTGCCAATCTGCGTGCACACAGGAAATAGATGGTTAAAAACGGTCGGGTGTTTTCTCATTTTATAGGCATACAATGTTCTACACGATCGGTATAACAAAGGGTTACCGTCAACATCACAAAGCTGGATTTGTAATGTAGGGGGAAGGTGAAATCCCCATTTTGTGTGTAACCTACACATTTCTGTTCCCCTTTATAAATCGATAGTATTGTGGATAATTTGTGTTTACATTACTACCCTAAGCCCTACTACTAACTGCCATCGGTTATCGAATAAAATAATCAAATACAGCTTTATTCGAGGATGAATGAATTGATTTCTCACACAGAATCTCTAAGTTTAAACTAAAACTTAATTTAACAACTAGTTAACTGAGATAATATTTTAGTACTCAGTATACTTCTCATAATGTCTCATCCACATTCTTATTGCTTATCTACCTAAGGTACAAAGGACTCATGTATGGATTTCTAAAAAATGTGGTATTGTACTATTTTTAACATAGTATACAGTATAGGTTAGTGGCAGATATAGGATTTTTTTTTTTTTGGGAGGGGGGAATGTTTCATATTAATTTTAAACAATGGACACTAAATATAAAACACAGATAAGATTACAATGAAGTATCAACATAATCGACTATCGTAATAATTGAACTATCCTAACCGCAATTTAAAAACAATAATAACAACGACAAATATAAAGTAACTCCGCCCCCCCTCTCCTTGAATCTGCCACTGGTATAGGCATCTATAGTTATGCTAATAATATAATTTGCTCTCTGAATATTGTTATTTTCCCGTTTGCGAAAATTGTTATCTTTCCCGTAGAAGAGAAAGAACATATAATACATATAATAACATCCAGTTATGTATATATTTCTGAGATATTTTTTTATGCATAATATATTTTTTACAAATACGTTCAATCATGCATTTAAATATACAAACACAAGCAACGTGCAATTTTACAAATCCGATTACGCTGTAAATTAAATAATATAGCTTGTTTACAAAAATAATTATTAATCAGTATTGAGCATTATCTAGATAAATAATTAATTATCTTTTATCTTATCTAGATGATTAAAAAAAATTGGTAATCTGATGAATATCTTAGACGAAAAATTGTATTATCTAACTTAATCCATATGAATAAATAAATGTTAGGTATAGTTTCTTTTTGAAAAATTAAATAGAATAGAATTATAATGTAAAGTGATAATAATTGTTTGTGTTGCTTATTCACATAATTCTAGATTCTGAGTGGAGCGAGGAATGTATTGGTTTTGCAATGGTGTTTAGTTCTTTTTCCCTTTTCTACCAGCAATTTTACTCTGATTTACAAAGATACCACTTTTTCTAAAAGGAAATCTGTTTAGGGAGATACTTTAAGAAGGTTACTTCTTGATTTTCTCAGTTGTTTTCATCATAAATGGAAAAAACCTAGGAATAACGGGAAAATAGATACAATATTAAACAAATTGCATTAAAGAAAATATTAATCCATAATATGAAAAATATATTGTTGATAAATTAACACTATTAACTGAACTTCGCTTAGAATTTTTCTTTCGTTTGTAATGGTATATCGTTGCGTACAGATATACATTAAATTTTCCCTCTACCACCTTCCCAAATTTTCACCTACACAGTGGCCCACCAACGTGCGAAGTATGTCCGTCTTTTTAATTCTATACGGCCTGATAGGTCCACAATGTGACACTGTGTAGTCCATACTTTGTAATAATTTTATATATCATACACACATCACACATGTACAGCAATGATATTTTGATTAATTTTTGTCTGCTCAATTCTAAATATAGTTCACATAAATGCATTGATTTTTCCAAAAAAAATATTATTGTATTATATGTATATTAACGTTATTGTGTGGATTATATATTAATTAGAGTTTTTTTAGACATGTATCTGGGGGGGAGGGTGGCTGTACCCTTATCATATTAATATTGTATATTTCATACCTATATTAATGAAAAATTGTTGTAGATATTAAAATAAACATTTTTTTTAATCTAAACCAAAAGTAGTATATCTTTTATCTTTATGAATATAATTTAGATTTTATTTTTATAAATTGTATCTAGGTTATCTTTGTGCAACACTATTAATAATAAGAGTGTTTTTTTTTTTAAAAAAATTTTATTGTTTTTTGTTAAACTTCACCTGTGATCGAGTACACTATATGGATTCTTGTGTATTATAATATACAAGAAAAGTTTCTAAAACTTGCCTCACTTACCTTGATTTAATATTCGCGTAACTATTTGGATTTTGACTGCGAGTGTCTGCAGCGCAGAAAAAGTTTTAACGCGTATGAAGTCTTATAATATTGTATTTTATGTTTTGGCACCAGTCAAAATCTATTCTGTTTATTATATAACTTTAATCCTGTCTTGTTTTCGGCAATAGGTTTATGAATTTTTGACGCCAAAATTATACATATTAACTCGAGGACTGGTAATTAAGTGCAATTTACTCTGTTTTCCTAAGCCATGTGATACTCGCAATACAAATTTGTTTCATGAGAATAAAAAATCTTATTGAGCATTTGCTGGCGATTTTTGATTTTTAAATAAAATTGTTTAGAGTATTTTAAAAATTTCTGAGCTTTTAGATTTAAAATTGTACTTTAAGATTTTTACACACACTAGCAACATTTATACACAATATATTATTATAATATATCGAACAATAATAATCCTAAAACCCAAATAACGAGTGACTTATGTATTTTTGAATGGATCTAGATATTTTATTTTGAACTTTTGTATTTTGTAGTCTATTTTATAGATTAGTTTTAAAATTCCTAGAAAGAAATAAGAAAATATGTTTAGAATAATTCTAATAAGATGAAGATAAAATACACATAACAATTTAATTATCGACCTATAGATAAGATAGAAATCAGAAATTTGAAATATAAAAAAATACAATTTTGTTCATAACCCATTATAAAAATTAGTGCACAAAGTATTAAAAATGTATCAGATTTGATTATATTATCAAAAAATTTGTCTTATTAGCAAATGTGAAAACTCGAAAAAAAAAAACGTAGGAAAAATGCGAAAATGGACGAAAGTAGGTATTAGTTGAAAAATATCTTGGCCTTCTTTTTTCCTGTGAACAACTTTTCTTCCAGCAATTTTGATCCGATTTACAATGATAGCACATTATCTAAAAGGAAATCTGACAGGGAAGATACCTAATGAAGGCCATTTTTCGATTTTTTCCAAGAGTTTTCTCAGCAAATGTGAAAAAACGTGGAAAAACATTGTAAAACCGGAAAAACCAATATTATATTAAACAAATATTATCAAAGAAAATATATAATGCTTATTTAATTATTTCACCATAATGACATATATATATATAAATTGTTGACAAAGCATAACTATCAATAGAATTCCGCTCAGAATCGCTTTTAGTAAGTAAAGGTTTATCGTTGCTTATAGATACAAATTAATGTCCTCTCTATATCCTACCTTCCTAATTTCTCACCAACAAAAATGACTGCATCCATCCCCATTATCCTAGGACAGATTTTTAAATTTAAATATTCGTATTACGTATACATTAATATAAATTACATACTTTACTTATTATTTTCTAATAATCGTAAATTACGATTTAAGAAGATTTATCTGAATCATTCAATGCTTATCTTAGACAACAGCTTAGATAACTTGTTTCTCATTTATCTAGATAAGATTAAATATACAAATATAATACTTATAACTAGATATTTTTTCTAAAGATAAAATACAACACAGCGTCTGCAGATTTTAAATACCAGAAAAACAGAAAAAAAAATATTTTTAGGAGAGTTGGATGTAAAAGAAAAACAAATTATTATTTTTATGCTGTTGATAAGGATCGCGAGTGGAAAAATAATTTGTATTTTTACCGTTTTTAAGTACCTATAGGTATTAACTTTTTCTCGAAGAAGAATAAGGATTATTTCCAAGCTTATGATCATTTTTTACCCGTTTTTCGCGGTCCAGTTGAATTTATATTTTGCGCGCACTCGTATTCCCGATGACAATACTAAAAATAACAATCAAATGTTCCGTTTTCTCATCATAAATAATATGAGGTATGATTTTCTATTTTCCTAATGGGGGTGGAAAAATGATTTTTCACCACCATTTTAATAAAATACTCTTAACTCATTTGGTAAGCATTATTTTTTTTTTATAGTTTTTTCTCCTTTGGTATATATACAATACGAATCTGACAGGAAATATTCTAGTTT